TTTGGCTAACTTTTCCGCCCTTTCTGAGCGAGCCACTTAAACTGTCTGGGGTGTGAAAGGAGGAGCTGTCAAAGCACTGGTGGTGCTCCGTCTGAATCGAGTCACCCCTCAATAACTATTTTATGGTTATAGAAATCATCTTATTATGTTGAAGTACAGTCGGGATGTCCTGATCCAGCTTTTTGTATTAAAGTTGAAAGTTATTTATCTACTTACTTAGCTGTCAGACTCATGTTGAACAGGGATTTACTCCTGTAACAACTTAAAGTTTAGGACACAGACCTGTGGGTTACAGATGCTAATGCTAACTTTTTTTTTAAAAATGTATACGATCCAAATATCGGATCAGGACAAGCCTAAAATACAGTATATGCAGTATAATGATCAGGGTTGCACAAGTCTTCTACTCCTGCAGCTACAGCTGCGCCCCCCCCCCCAAAAAAAAATAACAAAAACAAAACATCAATAATATCCTCATAAACTCACAATATTATTTAGGAAATGGCAACATTTTACTCGCTTACTTTTCTTGAAAAGTCAGTTTTGAAAATGGTCCTGACAGTAAATCCGCCACCAAATCATAAAAGAGCTATTACACTAACACAACTATATTTCGGTTTGTTTGCTAGCTTGCCGCTGATTGGATATCTGACTATCCAATCAGCGGGTGTGAATACGGTGACGTTGCCTAAGGCCTTCTAGAAGGCCCCGGCATCACCAACCTAAAATCTGATTGGTTAAAGCAACAGTGCACTGGACATGTATTTTCTGTGGGGGGGCCTGCAGAATGGATTGTGAAGGCCTCCTGGCGGACATCTTTGACTTTGACCCTGCCTAGCGACAAACGATGTCTGAAATGTGATTGGTTAAATGCTTTTACATGAAAATGCATGTCTGGAAGCAGCGCAACCAGGGGAGAAGCTATGAAAGGAAGCTGACAGACTATTTAGAGATATTTAATAAGTTTCCATGGACAAAATATGATTAACATCAGTCTGTGATTCAGATATTTTCTTAGGCCTGCAGAGAAGGCCTTGCCACGCCCATTTTCTCCTCTATTAGCCGCACACGACCCCCCCGGTGAGGGAGCAGACAGCCCGCCTCTGGCCCTGGCTCCGGCTATCGACGGGTTCTTACGGTAATGGCGTCTGTCTCCCCGTTGCCTAATTGGCTAAGTGATGGGATTGATTCTCAGATTGTTCTCTGAGTTGGTTCGATGTGGGACCAGTGAGTGGACCTCACAGGAGCTGGGAGTTGTGGGAGACGTTCGCCGTAATGGCTCTGGAACCGATCAACCTCAAGCAACGCCGGGTGGGGCTGGATGCATTAGAGATGTTTGTTAATAGAATGTTGATTAAGACTTATGGTGGCCATTTTATATGTTAACTGGCAATGGTGCACGTGCTGCATATGGTTTAATGTTCTTTTTTTATCAAACTTTATTTTATGTCTGCACAATTACTGATGTTTCATCACTTTTTCATGGGTTGTAATGAAATACTGCATTTACGCAGACAGAGAAATGATCCCAAACCGGATTATTTCACAAAGAGAAAGCTGAAAAAGAAGGATATAACACATCGAGAGGAAAATAATTCACCTTTTTCCAGCACTAATGTGGGGAATCGTGCTCTGTATGACATTATCTGTGTCTTATGTCATGGAAGGATTTCTTTACAGTGTTGCTTCAGGAATGCAGCAATAGTTTCTGCACGGCTTTTTTAAGCCGCTAACAAATAGCTTCCTCCATCTGAGGGTCTGGACTCTGACTGGACCGTTTCATGGCAGCTCCTTGATTCTTTTCTGGCCTCACATTTGGCTGAATCCTTTGCTGTCCAGAGGAGCTCCACCTGTGAGACCCTCAGGTCCCGTGGCTTCAGAACCAGCCCAAATCACCAGGCCTCCCCCCTCTGAGCGGCCATGTTGTGTTTGTTTTTCCTCAAATAATGCTGCTATGCAACGTGGCTAAATATCTCCACTTTGGTCCGGTCGCTCCAAAGGAAATTGCTCCAGAGGTCTTGTGGTGCCGCCATTATAGTGGGGAAATAACTCCAGCGGACTTCGATTCACTGGGGAAATCTTTAATAAAGGCACATTGTGGCCACATCTCCCGCTTTTAAAGAGGCTCAAACAATCGAGGCCATTTATTAAGCAGCACAATTATTTTTGAAAATAAAAGGGTGGACTTTTTAAAACATTATTTCACGTACTGCTCTACAACGTAACACATGGTGGGTTGTTGTTCCCCTGAGGTTATATTCCCCTTATGTCAACATCTGATTTGGACCCTGTGATTTTTTTGTTTAACTTCAGAAGTGATAGCGGCTTTTCTTTCCTTTTCATGTGGACAAAAAGAAACCTGGTGGGTTTCTTTCTTATAGAAGTGTGATGGAAAGTCTTCCAGTGGGCTTATAGCCTATCTCGTATATGTTAACCTCAACTGGAAATAAGCTTCATCTTCCACTGCGAGTGAGTAAATAGAAATATCAAAACCCACCGCAGCACACAGCTCTTCATATTACCCGGGATGATATCTCCCTCACGCTGTATTCCGGCGCTGTAAAATCCCATTAGGCGGTTAAAATGACTTGTCCCGCCACGAAAGGCGGCGTCCGTTTGCAGATTCTATCATCGACCGGGTCTCAACCTCCGTTCCCCGAGCTTTCACACACAGCCGAACACACTCCTGATGTCCGGCCGGGGTCCGTAATGATGTCCGGCATTTCGACTTTCCTCGGAGGACCAGATGGCTGTAAAGAAGCAGCCTAATGGCCCAAACACCTCGTGTCCATTAAACGCATAGGAAACCGGCCACGGTCTGTATCCCGGTAACGACCTATAGATACCTCTCGCCGGCTGTAATTGGAGTCCTCGCCACACACTCACAGTCGTATTCACACACCAGGACACGCCGCGGGTCACCATTAACGCTCATCACCGGGCCTTGTCTTGGGAAATCAGACGTACCTACTTTTAATCAGCGCTGAAGCTATTTGCGCCGCTGTGAGCAACCATTAGACTCATTTTAACCTAAACAATAACCATTACCGAGCTTTTAATCTAATTATCTTAATGTCCCGATCTGATGATCTCTTGTTCTTGCTGACCTCAGCAGACACTTCCATGTTGTCAAAATGTGGCTCATTATGAGGAAAACAGTCCAGGCCCCCCCACGACTTTGACAGTGTGTTATGGGATAATTGTGTGTGGGTTTGGAGAGCGTTGCCTAAAGGCTGCAAACAGCATTGTGGAGATATTATCAGCTTAGGGGATCATATGCAGCACGGTAAATGGATTAACCTTTTTTTTCCTCCTCTGTGACGACATATCTCTCTATATCAACGTGACTCCTGTTTTGGTTCCCTTTCCTCTTCTATAAATCTGTACATTTCATCAGCTTTCACTGTACAAGGCACCAAAACATGGAATACATTACCTGCAGAACTGAAGGGAGAGTCAAACTGGGTCCTTTTTAAACATAAACTTAAAGACTTTTTATTGAGAGGTCAGACATGTGAGCATTAATAATCTAACTGTCCTGATCTTTTATCTGTGATGTTTTAGTGTGTCATTTGTTCTGTTTTGTAAAGTCACTGTGTTTTGTGTAAAAGCCTAACTGGGGACAGGCATTGAGAATTAGCCTTCGCTAAAATGTTGTAGTGTGTGACATGATTCATGAAACATACTTGTCTTTATCAAATAAACAAATAAATCAATAAAAATAAGCAACCATGACAGAGACTAGATTTCAGGACCCAAGGTCACACTCAGGAACCGGCCAAAACCCCGACCCACAAAAAATCCTAACACAATGAAACACAGAACGCACACAATGCAAAGCGTCAAAACAAGAAGAGGGCAGAACCCACAAACCATCAGACCTGCTCTAGAAAAGCCTCTCGTGTCTTCTTTTTCCCAGACTTTCAGCCAAAAGCTGTTTGTGAATCACTTTTTTTTTGTGCTAATGCTGTTTGGGAATCACTTTTTTTGTGCTAATGCTGTTTGTGAACCACTTTTTTTGGTGCTAATGCTATTTTCCTGTCTGTTAGGTAGTTTTCAGTAATGGAGCTAAAATAAGAAATTACGTTTTTGTGACAGGCTGTCAGTTACAACGTCTTTCAAATTACAATTAGTTTATATTGTTATTGAAATGAAGGTATCTGCTACTTGTGGGCACAACAATAGATCATCCTTTGAGTTAGATGCTTTAATAATTTGAAGGTGAGTGTTAAGATGCTTAAACAAACAACAAAACACCTAAAAGGCCAGGACTTTGACAATCCTCAGACAGTGTGGAGAACAATTATGAAGTATTTAGTGCCCGGTCTACATTTGTACACAAGTTTACGGGTTCTGTGCACTTTTTTGAACATTTGCTCTTCACATGGAGGGATTAAACCGAACACCTTCTCCAGAATATGAACGCGGTTCATTCAGAGTGATCTCCAGATTATGCTGTTGAGTCCTAATGAGGCTGATCGACCGGGGGGCTGATAACGGCCCTGGGTAAACACACACTTGTGCAAATTGGATACATGGTCTTGAATATTCACGAGCGTGTGTGTGTGTGT